CCAAAAAGCTTGACATGTCTTCATAATTTCTGTAAAGGATGCTTAGGTACGTATATGATATTACTTTGAAATTATAGTTGTTGTATTACGACGCGTGGTTATAATGGTTATAAGTGGTACCATAGGTAGCCCAACACTCGTGTTTCGCGCGCGTACACGCTACTCAGTGATTAGCATATTATTCTAATTTATCTTAAGGTTGGCAACTTTATCACCAATTATCAATAATATATCACATACATACATGTCGAACTTCGATAAAAACTGAAAAACTACCACAAAATACTGCAAAATTAATAAATATAAATGAACTTGGATATATTTTCTAAATTTCGACATAGTTTTTAGCTTCAAAATGTATTGGGAAATACGGAAATTTGTTTATTTAAAATAAAGTTTTTGAAAATACATTGTCGAAATTTTCTTGTCGATAGGCGGGATCCAATTTACTAGACATTACGTCACCTTTGGAGATATTCGGAGTAAATCCTATTGGCTGCTCCAGTGAACTATAATAAATAACTGGAGGTACTCGCTCGAAATTTGTGTGTATAGTATCGCCATTTGTAGTAATTTCATCAGGGCAGCGTGGTTTTGATTTCGTGGTGACGCTTCTGTCAAGAATTGCTTAATTATATCACATGTATATAAAACCCTTTATATATGTCGCGCAACTTCGCCTCTCTGCAAGTTACGCTGCTGCTGGCACCAGATTCAACGAATACCACAACTCGGGGACTGTATTTTTAACTTTTATTAACACTCTATGTACAGGTATATTTTGTACACACTTTAGTGCACGTCGATGACACAATACTCCTAAGACAACACGCTTAAGAAAGACACACTTGCTCTGACGTTACGGTGACAACACACCACACAATACAACTCTCCTAACAACACTAACCTAAAGTTTACAATTCTACATATATTTATACTAAAGCTATAGGGGATATGATTCCATTTTGACATCAATTTCCTTTGCGCAATTTATGCATGTCCCGGGATGTTTTTTCCCGCAACGCGGTTAACTCTCTAACCGCACTGCCCCCATTCTTCCATCCGTTTGCGTTAGCGTGTGGGACAGGCGGTCTCCTTCTTCGTGGTTGGACGTGCGTTTGTTTGCGCGCATTATTTCCCCTGTTTTCAAGTTTCTCTATTTCCACATAAATGAATATAATTATATGAATATAAAATACACACACAACACAAACATGACATTTGACACATTTTCACGACAATATATAACCCTTAAAACCCTTTAACTACATTTTGCATAGTTAAATCCTGGTCGACTCAGAAATGCACGCCTCTGATTGGCCAATTCTGTCCTTAACTACAGTTAAGAGTTCAGAACATCAGGCCATTAAGGCCCCAGAACATCAAAAAGTCCGTAGAATGTAAAAATTTTTGGTATCATGATTTCTCATGGTTATTCGAAAGTCTTGAAATTGTCACTTATCATCATTAAATTACTGATAATATTTATCACGTAGTTCAGTCGAACAAACCATAGACATTCAAAGGAATGAATACCTTTGATTGTCTATGATCAAACGTAGAAATTAATCTTCAAAAATGTTTACTTATTTCGGAGTTTCTATTGTTCTTTATGTGAGATAAGAAATTCTTCTTGACTCATCTGAATAATGTAGGTATTGATGGTTTTGATGTTATTTCGGTAAAAAATCCTGACTACATGATGAAACTGTTCTTCTATGACTTTTATTTCAAATGAAGCTTCGCTCTCCCGTCGCGTCCTGCCCAAGCACCCCTGCGCGCTCGCACATCTCAGCCACAGATCTCTATAATACGCTTAATGCAGCCTTTATGTTTTCCAATAAAGCGCCTGGATACGAGGCTGTCTTTAAGGGCCTGTTTACATGGAGCGAGTTATCCCGGCTATAGCGGGCTAGGTCGAAACTGCATATAATGAAAGACTAATCAGGTAAGCCTTTGATCTGATGCGCTTTTTACCTCGTCTAGCCAGGATAACCCTACCTCCTCCGCAGCCATATTTGCCCGAAAAAAGCCTGCGGAGGAGTTTAACCCACTCCATTTAAACAGGCCTTAATAGACCCTTTGCATGTTAAACTACTTTTTGATCGGTGCAAAATAATCCAATCAAATCACCACAGCTGAAAAGAGCGTATCAAAATTAGTAAAAATGCAAAGTTTGGTTGCGAAATGTCGTAAAATACGGAAAATATAGCCTTACAAAGTTTGCAAATTTGTATACTTTAGTTTAACGCACGCAAAATGTTACCATTTTGGATTATTTTGCACAGATCAAAAAGTAGTCTAACATGCAAAGAGTCTATTAAATGCACTAATCTACGACGCGGACGTTGTAATATGCCTTGATCGCAATAAATTAACACAGATTGCTTTGGATTTAAAAGGTTTAATTTTTCTTGACACAACTATTCGCCATCATGGTTTTAGCACAGATTAACACCCAGATGTCTCACTTCTGACTCAAAAGCGTAAGGGATTCGTCACTGCGCATCGCTTTCTGCGCACGCTTAGCAAGTGACTAGAGGTATTCACCCCCCCGAAATAAAATTTCAAAATAGAAACGAACTGAATTGAAGTGAAAAACTGCACGATGTGTCAAATGAGTCGGAATATATGTACATTTATTGATTTGTACAGGAAGTTCCATTCAATGTAAAGATATTCAAACACTTTTTAAAAGAAATATGTTTGAAATTATGGAGGTTTCTACTGCTTATAATTTTCCGCTCCTACGACAATCGAAAAAATAAAACACTCGTACAATATTGAAAACGAGGTACTCTAAACTCACTTTTTCAAAGCGCGTATAGATGATGATGGATTCAGACACAAACTTAACTACACAGTCTCCTTCTTTAGCAAATGAGAGGAGGTTTTTTCCCATGTATAAAATAGTTCGGCTCCATTTTGAAATTTTCGGGGGGTGAATACCTCTAGTCACTTGCTGAGCAAGCGCTTACGTTTTTTTAATCAGAAGTGAGACATCTGTGTAATCTGCGGTTTTAGCTACTCCTCATTTAAAAACCATACATCAGAAGGTGCTAAATCACATACACTACAGACATGACATACACTACAGACGTACAAACTGCTACCAGTGTGAGGAGACCAGTAAAAATTTGTTTTACATCGCAGCTTTGACTTCGTTTATCAAAAGGAGTCAAATAGGAGTGATTTTTATCCCTGTTGGGAAACTGTGGAAATTAGAGCCGTTTTATTTTACGTCCGCGTCGTAGATTTGGTGAATCTTAATTTGGGATCAACTGACTGAACCCTATTGTTTGTGTTTCCTCACAACTCTAAAGTTCTTTACTTGTGTTTGAAATAACTTCCTACCTCCATACTTCCAAAATACTTCCACATTGTCGACGTATAATAGTTTAAAAAATATTTGGAGAAGACAAAGCGACTATCGCTATGAATAATCACATTAAATATGGTTTTCTGTACAAAATGTTATGATCGCCCCGTCATAAGATTGTTGCATATGGAAAAATTTTCGAACTGATTTCTATAATGCCTCTCACGGAATTCTGAGCATAAGCCATTGCTAATTGCATTATTTTCAAAATAGTTTTGTCTAGGTACAAGGCGTCCCATGCTCGATTTATTTATCAGAAGTGATCAGCTGAAAATGTATTTCATTTTGACCGAATTTAAGGCGGAAAGGCAAAAAATGCTAAAATTGTATGATAATGCTGAATCAACAAAAGGCCCGTGTGCTCGTTTGTGCTGCTGCGTTTAAACTTTTTTTTAATTTGCTGATTTGCACTCATCCGTCAGTCGACCTTTGACTTCTTTTCCGTTTTTTTTGTAACACCTAGTGCTAAGTTCTTATGCAAATTACAGTAGTTCCTTTCTCACTCAGCGACTACGTGCTAAGTCCTGATTTTAAACCACAGTGGATCAAATGTCAGGAAAGCAACAAAGTTTTGGAACTAGTCAAGCAGGGCCTCTCTTAACATATAGACTGGGGACCAGGCCCCAATTTTGGTCCCCCAGTTAGGTATTTTGCCCCCCAGTTACAAATGAAAAATCCCCTGTTTAAAGGAAACATTGATAAAAATAAGGATTGCATTAATAGTTCCCGACAATGTTAGCATGGGATTCTGTAAGCCAACCTTTGCTGAATGTAATTTCACTAATATCATCTATCGAGTGTTAAAACATAATATTTTGCATCAGTATTATTTGAAAATCAGGCAACTGATGTCAAAAAATTTCCAAGCACCCCCTTCGGCCAAGATCAACCTTTATACTTTGCTGCGCCAGAGAGATGCAATGCACCCTCCCCCAGTCGGTGAGTCTAGCAGCAAACTCCACGCTGTATTGATCAAGATATTGAAATACGTGGGAATATTAATCAGAGGCAAATAGCATTCATAATAACCTGCTTGATGTCAACTAGGCACTCGTAATAAGGCGCATGAAGTCATCTATTCAGACAGCATTTGTCATTGTTACCCGCTACAACCCGCTACATGCGTCATGTTTACCGGTTCCTTTTAAACCATGACGTGTAAGGATCTTTATCCATGCTCAGCACTTCCGATCCGCGACTAGTAATTATTCATTCCATTATTAAATCTCTCAAAAACCGAATGCGCTGAAGCAAAGGAAAGCGCCATGCTTTTGTTTGTTTTGCGGTTAATTGACTCACCGTCATTGTTTAATTTGTTTTCAACTGACGACCTACTTTTAACGTATGCAAAAGAATGTGTCTTGCTGTCTCGCGCTGGATTGTAGTATAAACAAAGTATAATGGCGGGGGTTTTGCTTTACGTAAATTAGAAAATTATACGTACATCCTTTATGTTTATTGTTACATTGTTACCATGCTGTATAAGAAAGGCTTCCATGTTTGAAATAGCATTTTCAAACACAGCTACAAACAAGTTTCATAAGTTCATATTCAAAGGAGTGGACGTCTGGTGGACTCCAGTGATCTCGGCTGCGATCAGTGTAGTTTTTTTGCATCATACATTTTCGGGGGGGAGTATGGAAGGATTGAAAGCAATGACTATGGTTTTTATGTGCGTTTTTGCGGCATTTTTATTCGCTGTCCAAGGTATTGTTCCATGATGTTCTTCTCGAAGACGTTTGTTGATTTCTTACTATAATTTTATAATCATATGAACCATATTGAAACATAATAAACGCAATGAATATTGCATTTATTAATACCAAATTTCACATCAAATGTTAAAAATGTAAACACTTCAGTACATGTATTGACCTCGGAAGCACTCGCAGCACATAGCAGTAGGTATATGTGTAGTGGTTGTGATGTTTAAAACCTTGAAAATTGCTGTAGCTATTAGAGTAAGCTGGGCAAGGACAAGTGGAAAAGGCTTGAGTGTTTAGCTAATATGTAGACATATACCAAAGTATGATGACATACAATTTTTGACATACAAAGAAAGTATGATGGGTTTAACAACATGGTTTAACAATGCATTTTTTATGATTTAGCTGCAGCAAAGCCAATCTCTCTTGATGCATTTTTCTTTGAACAAATACAAGATGATAAAAATGTTACTGGTGCTTCCAAAATTTACACCATTGAGGTATTTAAAAAGTCCTGCAATTGTAATCTGTGCTCCCTCTATTTAATTTCACTTAATATACCAGTGTTGCCAAAAAATCAGCCTGGCAATTTAGGCATTGCTATCACTGAAAACTTTTGCTCATCTGCTCCAGACCAGCTTATTCCTTAGTCATTTGGTGCCATATCAGATTTAAACCTTCACTCAGTCTATCTAATTAAGCCTATCATACATGATCTTGCCAATTATTTAAACCATATCCACTATCCCAATTAATGCTCACCTCACTTAATCCTTAACCATGAGTCATGAAAATAGAAACTCTCTGTGATGTCATGTTATATATGCAGTGTATATACTGAAGAACTTTGTGACCAGTAATGATGACCATGCCCTAACATTAGTTAATTATGTGTAGTGAGTGACGTACATCCAATACATGGAATTGCAAAGCTTTTCTCTACCAATAATATAGGCAATACAACCTAGAAAATATCACAAGAAGCCAAGATTCTATTTCCTACCTGTAAATAACCTATTCTGTTACTTCATCTTGCAGACTAGTGATCTAACAAATACAACAAGAAGTGAAAATGTACTTCAGCTCTCTTTTTTACAACATAATTTGTTACCTGGAGACAAGGTGACCTTCTATGATGGCAACTTTACCAGTTCTGCAGAGTACACATCATCAACAGAAACTCCTACACTATCATTCTTTACAACCTCACCTGATGCACAAGTTGTGTTTACTGCAAACAAATCTGATGTCACAACAAGCAGAAGTTTTATTTTTCTCTACCGAACCATCCCTAAAGGTATATATAAATATTGTTAATGATTTAAACATTCTCTCCTAGAGGTGCAATGAAATTACTTTCACTAATATAAGGGCTGCAGGTATTGTATGTGATTTTATTCCTCTCTAGCTGATCAATTCTATGTATTGTCCTCATATTCTTCTTTGCAGGGTATAATAAAATTTTGTGGCAACTGTATATACTGAAAATAACCTAGCTAGCTAGCATAATAAAGCTGTCCCTTTAGTTACAGTATATACTGCACATGCATATGTGATTATTAGATATCTAAATACATTTTTATTACCCTTTAGATGTTGACAGAGAATGTAATCAACTGTTTTATGGAAGATGGGGAAGTATAGACACTAGTGAGGTAATTATAATCTGATAAAGTTTCAAAGCTTCAAAGACCACCAAGACATTTGGTATTCTCTATTTTATCTCAGTGCCAGGTAGATTAGGTTAGCACATTCCAAAAAGTTTAAACATGAATGGGGTCAATTCAATACATGATCAACATTGACTTATCATTAAATGGTTTTAATGAACAAAGCAATTTGACTTTATGCAATTAAAATTTTTGGGCTCTGCTGCCCAAAGTGAAATCAATTTGGAGAGCCTTTTCCCTTAAGAGTACAGCAGTTGTATATTGCATCTTATCAACCTTACCATTAATTTGCATGATCTGGTTATTTTCAAGCCTTAGGCCAATATTGCCAATAATGCAAAAGGTCTATTATTAGTACCCTTGTTTTAATTTTTAAGTAAGGAACATATATTCGATTCGTTTTAGCATGACAGACGTTCGAAGCAGTGTAGGTATACAGTAACGCTTCCGACTTTGGGTGGAGGTACAGTCTCAATTCTCTTTGACAATCTGACGATACCAGTAGGCGAGAAATTAACAATTTGGAAGGTCGCCGGTACAAAGAATTACTCTCGATATTTTGAACCACACGGCAGCCCTCTAAAGGTGTTCACTCATGCAGATAGCGGCAGATTTCACTACATCGCGCCTGGAGTTTTGAGGACACTCGTTTTGGATTTTAATTCAACAACGCAGTTTAAAATCCGTTTCTACAAGTATAGCTACCAAAATGGTAATGATTTTTTTAAAATCAATGTTTTTGTTTTTTTTATGTTCTCATCTAGCTGGGCTATTGGGCTAAATCGAAATATTGTGTACCACAAGTCACTATTTTCAACGGCAGTTAACAGACCGTTTTTTTAAATTCAACTAAATTTTTTGAACTGTGAAAATTCATCAGTAATACAGTATGAAGTTTAGCTGTAAAAGATTGTGAAATGTGGTGAATATAGCTGATGCCCTGACGAAGAAATCCTTAATTTCAATTACTATCCTGACTTCTGGTTATTTAACTAGTTATCAACGAAATCGGCGAATCAGGAGAGATAAGCATTCCTATAACTCCATATCCAAACGATCTTTCCTTGATATACCGAATAACAGTACCAAGAGGATATGCAAAAATCACAGTCCATGGTAAGATTCGTTTGATTGCTACGGGTCCGGAATAAATTAGTGAGAACCTGCAACAGCAACCCCCCCTCCCACCCCCCTTATCGACTTACTTTCGCATTCTTGTCTGTAATGTTTTGCTGTATTTGCAATAGTTCTTGCACTTCGCCCGCCTCCGCCCTCCGGGTATTTCCCCCGCGTTCCAGACCTCCCCACCGACCATAAATTATTAACCCAACAATTGGTACAATACGTGACTACCTTCGTGCTGTAACGGCCGGAGGAATTAAGAATAATGTCAAGTGTATATTAATGTACTACATTTCAGACCTATATTTGCCTAAGTATGATAGACTCGACGTAGCCAGATTCAATGGAAAGTCATGGGACTTCGTACGAAGCTTTAAAAACGACAGTGACCTAAGTACAAACACTGTAGTGTCAGACAGCAATTCAATCGAAGTAATCTACAACAAGCTGAGCGAAAATTCAGCCAGCAGATATAGGATCACGTATTCGATGATAGAAACTAGTAAGTTTGCATGTACACATTTGCAACAATATATGAATACCTTAAAAGTATACCAATAATACAATAGTTAGTTATAGGTATGCATTTATTATTAATATATACACGATTTTCGATCATACCACCAGATAATCTATTTCCCTTCCAGCACCGAAGACGTGCAAAACGTTTCAACACGTGAAAAAATCGCAGTTCACAAAATTTACAGAACTTTATGAAGGTATGTTTTAGCAAGCCTACAGTAATTCGTATGTATTAACTGTCTTTTTAACAATTAGACAGCAAGTAGAGGTTACCATTCGTTTTCAGATAACCAGAACGAGTTGTGTAATTATTTTAGTATAATCTACTGGTAGTACAAAGGAATATTTGAAAAGAAACGAACAAATGAAATGTTAACAGTACCTGCACGTTTTATTCCTTGGCACTTTGCTCGGCACGCAATTGCGTTTTTAAAACGCGTTCACGATCGAAATTTATGCAAAAAAATTAAATAACTCTTCTTCAAAATCTTCTTTACCTTTAGTCCGCTCTATCTAAACCGATATAACCGATGACGGTTCATATGTTTATGGTTAAAGGCTTTACTTTAGGCTACTTTTTACAGGTTTTCAGATTAGATTGGAAACGAAGTTCGCCATTTTAATTAAGAAATATTTTCGCGCCAGTTAGTCGTTGATATTTAAAAAACATACATCAAAAGGCCAAATCCGAGAATGGAATGGGTAGACTGACTGCATGGCGCGAAGTCCTTAATTTGAAGTTTATTTTCATCATGAAACTTCTCAAGGTTGGGAAGGGTCCTTCACTTGCGCTGATGGCTTTGGCAACAAAAGAGTTCTTAACCATGATGTCACCATATTATGCCAGGCCAATGGCGAATGGAAATATGGGAAAAAAACCGAAGAGTGTCGCAAATTATGCCCTCCGTTAGGTAGGACAACTTAATTCTTTTCTTAGCCCTGTTGAACTATTAAGACGGGAGAGGGTGTGATACGGGGGGAGTGTTTCTATACTTTCGATCAGCATGACAACTTTCATACTATTTTCAGTCATAGTTTATTAATTTTATGATAGTATAGCATTAGAATTGCTTTTTGACTAGAGAAAACTGTCCTCATTTGCAAGAAAACAAACGTATCTCATCTTCCCCGTCAACCCCCCCCCCCCCGGGATGGTTATCTTCAAAGGCTAAGGCGAAGTCTTGTACTTTCTAGTTTCCCTTTACAATATATCTTCGCGTGGTTTGTTTCGAACATTTGGTGCTACACAAGAGCACCTCAGTGGCGATAATGTGACATTTACATGCAAGGCAATATATACGAGGCTGACCTACAAGACTGTCACGTGTACATCAACTGGTGCCTACTCCGCACCTCCGCCGTTCTGCAAAGAGCTAGACAATTCCAGTATGTATAAAAAAGCCATATATAGCTATATAATAGCTATATAAAAGCTTTTGAGCTTTTCTGAATGCATTTATTCGAATTTTAGATGGTTCAGATTTGGCTCTTGTGTTGTCCTTGTCGTTAAGCGTCCCACTTGTTTTTGTGATGATGCTTGGTCTGGGTTATATTATCTTGCGTTATACGACTTTCCTGAGTGCAGAATATCATAGGAAATTATTCGGTCCGTCGAACAGACAAGAACAAAGTCAGACAGTCCATCTGCAAGAAAACGTAGCGCTAGGCAACGGCGCAGGACTTTCAAACGATAACAGTCCTCAAAAAATGGGCGCGAATGAAGTTGAAATATGCTAACGTGAAGTTGGCAATATTGCAGGCCAATATTCCACTGTTTAGGTGTATTCCACTAGCAGGAATTATATTCGCATAATGTTGCATAAATTAAATTAGTTCTTTGTGACTGCATCAAAATATGCTTTGGAAGAGTTAGGTCTTAGACTCAGCACATTGGCTGTATGTACGCAGACAAAATTTAACTAGTGAACTTTTTATAACAAAAAGAGAGAGAAGAGGAAGTTTCAAATTCCACATTTAAGAACGATTTATTCATGTAAATTTTTAACTCTAAAGAAGCGATATTACTCAGTAAATTTGGCATGTTGTAGAATGCGGACTGGACTGGTCAGGAAAAGTGCGGACTTGTAAATAACAGACTTGTAAATAACGGACTCAGTCCGTGATATAAAACGCGAACTTGTATAAACACATCGTTATCAGTGGCGTAGCCAGCCTGACGATTTTGTCCCGCTATGTAAATTTCGAGTTATTATAATTATTCATGCCTTTAGAAATCTATTGTTTTCACCGTCAGTGAACACTAAAATATTAGCATAGCGGGACAAATCGACAGGCTGGCCACGCTACTGATCGTTATTATGTTAACTGTAAAATTGGAAATTAAACGAGACTTACCTGTAAGTCGAAGTTTGATTGTAATTCTACGAGTCATCAGCCAGGAGTGGAGGAGTTGTACGAGAGACAGTACCACACATGCGCAAATCAGTCTTTAGAGCAAGAATATTTGTTTAATGACAAGTGGTGGAGTTGTATGGGAAGGGAGTAATGGGTGGGCGTACAACTCCTCCACTCCTGGCTGATGACTCGTAGAATTACAATCAAACTTCGACTTACAGGTAAGTCTCGTTTAATTTCCAATTCTACTTCGTCATCAGCCGAAGTCGTTACGGAGTTGTACGAGATTTCAGAGCTGTCATTAAACGGATATTCTACCCAATCAAGCAAAAAACGCAAAAGTAGCATCAACAGTAAACAATATATTCAACAAAGTTACAAATTAACAGTTACACTAGCGTTTAATAAAGCACTCCCAAAATTAAAATTAGAAACAATGTCCCGATTATAAACCTGTGAAAAGTTCCTTCTTTAGACCAACCAGCTGCACGTATAATATCGTTAATATCAAACTGTTTTCCAACAAGGAATGACGTAGACGCTGCACGCGTAGTGTGGCTTTTATAAACAGATGTATCAATGCCAGCAGCTGTCATAAACATCTTGATCCATTTGGAAATGGTCTCACGCGAAACCGCCTTATGCGGCCTTATACAACTAATAAGTAACTCTTTTTCATCATTTCGTAAAGACCTTGTTTTGTCAAGATAAACTTTCAAATGAGTGACAATACATAATTTTTGTTCAGTCGGATAAGCTAAAAATTCCAATGGTGTTTGATGTGTACCTGCTCGAGTGTGTTTTAACTTTTCAGTTATAACAAACGTGACTTTAGAATCTTCTATGGACATGTTGTCCAACGATAATCTATAAATTGTTTGACATCTTTGACCACTAAGCAGACATAACAAGAGGGCTAACCTATGACTAAGGTCTCTCAAGGAAAGCAAATGCACAGGCTCTTGCTTCCTAATATAAGAGAAAACAACATTCACATCCCAAGTTGAACTATATCTAGGTAAGGCTGGTCGTTTTTCAAATACACCTTTCATAAATCTTTTTACAATGGGTAGTTGGCCAAATGCCATAGAACTATCAAAATGTAAAAGCGAAGACAAGGTACTTCTAGCTGTGTTAATATAACTGTATGACAAGCCAGAATTAAATAATTCAGAAAGAAAACTCATTGCTAAAGGCACAGGAGGAGAAATAACATCACAATTTTGCCGCTTACAAAACTCAAACCATTTTTTAGCAACAGACTGGTACTGAGTTTGGGTACCTTCCCGCCAAGAACTCAAAATGATGTCGATCGTATCTGCCGAAAACCCTTTTACCTGTAACTTGCTCCTGATACAAGACAAATAGCTAGTCTTAGCTTCTTGTGTAGAGGATGTCTCTGCCCTGGGTTGGATGGCAACAGTAGCAGGTTTTGAGCTGGTGAGAGAACAACTGGTGGTTTCTCCAGTATTGGTAAGAGCTGGGGTACCACGACTGCGTTGGCCATTGTGGTACTACAAGAACTCCCCTGGCTTTGTCGCATATGATCTTTCTTATAACTCTGAGTACGCAGCTGAATGGAGGAAAACAGTAGAATTTTATATCTGCCCAGGATATAGTAAATGCATCAATGTAACTGGCAAATGGGTCTGGCCTGTATGACACATACTGGTCAAATTGCTTATTAATGCGAGATGCAAATAAATCAATATCAGGAGTAAATGGTATGTCTTGTAATGCCTGGCATAAATACTGGGCATTGAGCATCCATTCAGTGTCTAAATTACAATTTCTAGACTCATAGTCAGCAATAACATTTTCTTTGCCCGGAATATGGGCTGCTGTAAGCCATTTACCATTTTCCTCACACAGTGTCCAAATTTTGCAGGCAATTGAGTTACATGGGTCACTGTGACAGGTACCCATATTATTTATGACAGAAACAGCAGTTGTGTTATCAAGCATCATTTTATATGTGTCCCTGTGATATCTTTCAGAAAAGACTTCAATACAAAATAAGCTGCCAAAAGTTCTAAGTAATTTATGTGATGCTGAGCCTCACTGGGCTGCCAGTGTCCCCCTGTGGAGATGTTATTCATAGATCCACCCCAACCAGTAAGGGAGGCATCTGAGCTTAATGTGCAATCTATCCTAGGTGCTTGAATAAAATGGAAAGCACTGGGTAAGTTGTTTACCCACCATTTTAACTCTGCCACAGCAGGAGGGGACAGGCACATGGTAGAATTCAAAATTGCCTTGGCCTGTTTTAAGGCAGATATTTTGTCATTCTCTATAGCCCGGTAGTGGCATTTGCCATATTTAACTGCTGGGAGACTAGATACAATATAGCCAATTGCCTGGGCAACTTCCCTAATTGTGGGTAAGTGTGACACAAGTAACCCGAGATGAAGCTTGTTATCTTATCAACTTTTTCACAAGTCAGTGTTATTTTCATTGTTAGTGCATTAATAAGGAAACCTAAAAAGGTAGCCTGCTGCTGAGGGACAAACACAGACTTTTCGACATGCACCACAAATCCCAAATCCGACAGAAGTTGGGTAGTCTCAAGAATTGTAACACAACACTTCTCATATGAAGTTGCAATTAATAAGAGATCATCAATAAAAATAATAATGATATGACCCTTTGTTCATAAAACACATAAAATTGGCTTCATAAGCTTTGTAAAGTTGCGAGGGCAAGAGGACAAACCATTTGGATAAGCAGTATATTGATAAATCGTATTGTTGTAGCAGAAGCGCAAGTACTTCTGGAGTCAGGGGTGTTATTTTGACACTATAATAGGCATCCTTCAAATCAAGGGATGCCATCCAACAATCTTGAGTTATTAACTCCAAAGCCGAAAAGATACTGTCCATTTTAAAGTGACGATAAGGGATATACTGGTTTAAATTTTTTAAATTTAAAATTAAGCGAACTTTGCCATCCTTTTTTGGGACAGAGAAAATAGGTGACAAAAATTCACCCTGTACATGATTACATTCTCTGATGACTTGTTTTTTAAGTAGGCAGTTGATTTCATTATTAACTGCGGAGGCATGTTCTTTAGCAATTGAGTTACTAGGGCAGGCATGTTGTATTGGGGGCTGGCTCAAAAATTCAATTTTTTCCCCTTTTACTGTCTGAAGAATTGTGGGATCAGATGTGATAGATTTCCACTTGGTAAAGCATTGGCTTATTTGGCCACCAATAAAACAATCAATACGCTTTACAAGGTATGGTTTAACATACATGTCAATTATCTTTGAGTGATTATTTACCTGAGCAATCAATGTTGAGAAGTCTGGGACTGGAAGTGTCTTCCTCTCTTGTTGTGGGGAGGATATGGTCTCCTCCCCGGTTGGATAAAAAAGGCTTCTGGGAATGTCGCTGTTGTGATGGGTAAGAGGAGTATCCTCGTTGTGGCGATGGGTAAGGCGAGTAACGTGGCTTTGAGTATTGCTCACGAGCCATAATTTTACCCTCCAATTTGGAGTCAAGCATGGTTTTAGACAAGTCATCCCCAAAGAGCATTTTTTGGGGCTTATTTGACCTGTTACAGGAAGATTTAAGCTCAGTGCTGAGCAAGGGTTTCAATGAGTCCCGACGCTTGAAAGATAGCTCAGTATTGACATGCCCTAACAAAGCCACTGAATCAAATAATCTGGTAGCAATAGCAAGTGAATCTACCGATGTCTTGTTCTCACGGCCTTTTAAAAGCTCGTCAATGGTCAGGGATAAAACGCTCGAGACTCTGACCAGCGAGTCTTGCAAAACAGCCACACGCAAATCGCGTTGGCGATTAAAGCCTTTCAATTTCGCCCAAATAGGCTCGTTCACTTTGGGTACGGAAAGGTTAGTGCAGTTTGCTGGGATCTTATATTTTTCTAAAATTTCTTTCCGCTTATCTATACCCAAATCTGTGGTAAATTTTTCATTTACAATTTTAGCTACCTTCTCTGAAATAGGAGGCCCAAAACCATCAGAAGGTCTGAGGGAGTCATCTATAAGTTCTAAAAATCTATCGCTTTCTTCTTCTAAATCATTTCCTCCGAAGAGGCTAAGAACATCGTCCTCACTATTGCGGACTGGAGCATCACTGTCCCTGTTGGACGAGCTAGGCGCTTCCTCTGAAGCCGGAGCATGTGCTTCCTCTGAAGCTGTACGTTGGGCCTCCTCTGAGGCTGGTGGGTTTGCTTCTTCTGAAGCTGAAGGTAGTGCTTCGTCTGAAGCTACAGGAGCGTGATGCTGTGAGGCTGTTAATTTTAAGATTAGATTCCTATTCTCAGTCATAGTTTGCTGCATGGCAGACAGAAAAGCGATTAACGTGGGGTCCGCAGCCGGCAAATTACTCGGAGACGAAGCGGGAACTTCTACGGTATCGTCGTTTTGTTCCATAACAAGAAACTAAAAGATAAAGACGAAGGTAAAAGAAAATGCAGATACCTTTCTCGACCACCAAACCTGAAAAAGACTCGAAACGCTTGGTCAATCAAGCACGAAAATGCTCTTCAAGATAAAAAACGTGACTTGCTTGCCGCCATGAATGGTACAACTGATTTGCGCATGTGTGGTACTGTCTCTCGTACAACTCCGTAACGACTTCGGCTGATGACGAAGTAGAACTAGAGTTGAGAATTGTTCGGAAAATTTGAAGGATCGTGAGTATTAAATAAACCTTTTTTATTCAAATTTGTCATTGTCTCATCAATAAGCTTTGGGAGTCTTGTCTTTTGGGAATTTTCTTCGAAAGGGAGAATTAGTGGAGAGATCTGAGGAAAATATTATTATTAGTGAATTAGTCCGTTTTTTACAAGTCCGCGTTTTATATCACGAACTGAGTCCGTCATTTGTGTCCGTGATTAAAAAGTCAGCGCTTTTCCGATCCAGTCCAGTCCGCATACAAATTTGTGTTCCGGTGGATAGAGCGAGCGTGTGCTGTCGATGCAACCTTTCCACAACAGGTGTATATATCAGCCTTGTACCCCGGCGCTTTAATAGTAAAAAAATAATGTTGCGCTCAGTTATTGTATAGAGGTCAGCTGAAAAAAATGCGAGCGCGCGGGGGTGCTTGGGTGGCTGAGTATATTTCAAATCAACCTTTTCGCAGGCTAAAATAGAGCTCCACTGGAATCTGGATTCCAAGAATCAAATTTCCGTGAACAAACTTAACCACAACTTTGTACTTTAATTTGGCTATCTTTTTTATAATGCGATCGTTTCGTTGAATTTATTAAGCCAAGGTGCAAGTGAAGCTGAAGCGAGAAAGGCAATGGCGAATGATTCACCCGACAGTGGTTCTGTTGATGAAATCACAGATCTTCTCACTTGCTCATTGTGCTCAAATATTTTACATGATCCAAAAAGCTTGACTTGTCTTCATAATTTCTGTAAAGGATGCTTAGGTGCGTATATTATATTACTTTGAAATTATAGTTGTTGACTTGTATTACGACGCGTGGTTATAATGGTTATAAGCCGAATAAGCGGTACTCGCTCGAAATTTGTGTGTATAGCTTCGCCAACTTGTAGTAATTTCATCAGGGCAGCGTGGTTTCGATTTCGTGGTTACGCTTCTGACAATTTTATACTGCCAAAAGATATATTTAAGAATTGCTTAATTATGTCACATGTCAGTTTTCATACACTGCAAGGTAGCTTTGCTACTCAGGCTTCGCCTTCGTTGACTATTCGCTCATAGACAACTCAGACTCGTTGTCTATTTGTTAAATACTGGCTAGTTGACTAAATTAAAGGCGAGTAAGGGCTGTTTACATGATCGAAGTGTGAGATATGACTTTGAGGTATTGAAAGAAGTCTTTATGACATCAAACAGGCACATGCTATTGTACATAGGGGTGATAAATCATAAATTACACAAATAGCATGATAGCCTGGATCCCAATGTTATACACTCATTTCAATACCTCAAAGACTTCATGTCATGTGTTGTAATATTCATTTAGAAAAGTATGTTGAACGTCTTCATGGTGGTGACCAAAACATTGAGACATTTCCATGCCCTAAATGTCGCTTAGAGTTTACCTTTAAATCACATCAAGATTTGGCTGAAATGAGAAGTAATTGTTTCATCAAGAATTTGCTGGATATTTTGGAGATTCAACAGAGAGCCAAAAGTTCTACTGAATGTTTCCGCTGCAAAGATCCTGCCATCAAACACTGTTCATCATGCGAAATCTTCATGTGTGACAAATGTTCAGAATGGCATGACATATGGCCAGCTCATAAACACCACAATGTATTATCTGTAAAAGAACTAAGTTGTCCTAAAAGTCAAATAAAAATGAGAAGGAAGCTTCACTGCATGAAACACAAGGATAAAGTGCTGGATTATTTCTGTGAAAGTTGCAAGGAACTTTGCTGTATTGACTGTGTTGTATTAAATCATCAGAAACCAGACCATTCATGCGTGGCTATGAGTGAAGTTGCACAGAAACAAAAAGAAACATTACAATCAAGCTGCTCAACGCTTGATAAGAAATTGTCGGAAGCAAGCGAAGCTTTGACTAATATTGAAAGTGTAATGAAGTCTCTTGAAGAAAATGCTAAAACTGCAAAAGATAAGATCAAAGAACAGAAGGAAAAAGTTTTGAAGATTGTGACGGAAAAAGTTGATGAGAGAACAAAGAAAATGAACGAAGAAGTTGACAAGGCTTATGATGAATTACACAGTGAACTAAACAAACAACATGATGAAATTAAAGGTTATCATGACAAACTACAAGCTTCAATGCCCTTGCCTAAAAGTCTCCTGAAGAGGGGAAGTATTGAAGAAATTCTTTCCTTGCAAAAACAGATTGATGAAAGTATTAAAAAGTTGCAAGAAGAAAAGCCAGATGATCTAACAGCAGTCAATGTTGGCGATATTCAGCATGTACCTGGTGATATTGATAATATCAATGTTGATGAAGTTGTTGATAAATTGGGACATATTGAAGGTATATTTTTCAACATAATTAGCCTAGGCAGCATTTCGGCATCTTTAGAAAACTTTTTATCAAATGTGGCATAACAATGGACCAGTTTCATAATTACATTATAATTTTAAATTTAGGACCACCTTAAATGAGATGGATTGCAAGTTTTATTCTTATGTATGAGCCAGGAGCAAAGATGCAAAACATCTTCTTCAACACATGCATGAAATATAATTTTTAATTTTGGTAAAAAAAGATGGGAAATAAGCTATAACATGATAATGAGGCTCAGGGGCCAAGACCGAGAGCCTCGCTCTCATGTTCTGGCTTATTTCCACACTTTGTCAAAATGAAAAATTCTTTGCACATGGCTCGTGAGAGTAAAACTTTAAATCCATTGCATTTAAGGGACGGTCCTGTAAATTTAAAACGACAACTACTATACGGTATTATGCACGGGAAAATGCCTTATTACACCTTTTTAACAGTTTTTTTCCTTTTTCTGACCGATCTCCATGATTAATTTTTAGAACATAGTGGATTTCTCAATTTAAGAAATTTGTCCAGTATTTTGAAAGGAGAGATTGCCTTCATTAAACAACTTCAGAAATGGTTGGGAGAGAAATGTAATTGGAATCTTTGTTACCGTGCTTCAAGAGATGGTTGGGGAGCCCAAAATTTTCACGCCTATTGTGACAATAAAGGACCGACCGTGGTATTGGTGAAAGCTAATAATTGTATCTTTGGTGGATACACTGACCAAACCTGGCATCGCCAGGTTTATTGTTATGAGGAGGATGACTATTATGAGGGTTATTATAATACTAAAGTTAATTGCCTTTAATTGCCCGATTAAATCTCTTGAGTTATTGTTTATCAAATCATGAGTTGCTGTTTATTTTCCTTGGTGTACCCCCGCATCTAAAACGCCAGATTACCAGATCTCTTTCTGGAAAATTTGCTTTCGCCTCATCAATGCTTTTCACACCTTGTTCACATGATCCAAAGCCAAAGGGGTGAAATGCTCAATGTATCGAATTAACTTTAACTTCTATCATAAATTGATAATGTTTGCAAACCGTTTTGGCAGCTAGAAAGCATAAATGAAAATATTTGAAAACGTTACCTTGTGCCAATATCAAAGTTTCAGTTGAATAATAGTTTTATTTTATGCTGTAGCCCCATCACGCATGGACTTACAATCATCGTGACCATTCATTACCTACAGAGTAACGCAGACCATTACATTCAGATGATGAATTCGCCATCCAAATATCCACGAATAATAATTTTTAATGGTCTAGATTCCTCAATCCCTCTTCACTCCGGAAATTAATAAATTAACATAATATGTTCTCATTTTTCAAAGGAAATTACAGGCATTCGAACTGTTCATTTCTGTTCTCTCTACGAAACAAAGTCAACCTTGGTCCATTTATTGCCAACATCAAGCAAGGTCAGGAAGGAAAGGCAATTTACTGTAATAATCCTAATGGGCCAGTCTTTGGTGGAGGTAATGATCTGAACATTTGTGACAGTCCCAACGTTAATAAATCCTACTGCAATTTTGGAAGCACATACCAACTACCTTCTGGTTATACCTATGCCAGTAAACGAGCAAAGAAACTTCTTGCTGGTCAGTACCAATTCTTGACAACAGAAATTGAAGTCTTCTATTGACTGTTACCAAATGAACATAAATCGATTGCCGTTAAAGTATTATGCATAAGTGAACCAGCTAGCCAATAATTATTATAGAATCTAGAAAGTTATAACAAAAATATTTAACAAACAGATAACATTGAACCGTTGTCTGTTCAGTTATAGATACACGGATGACGTCATTTGTGATAAGAACAAAACAAAGTGGCCACGAACCGCCCGGGCGAGTTCTTATCGCAAATTACACGTCAATGTTAACTATTTGTTTATATAATAAAATGGGAAAAAATTCCGAAATTAAACAGGCAAAAAATTTCCCCAACACTTGGAAAATTGTCAAAGAAGAAATTTTGTTTGTAACACGCGTGCATGTACTATTGGCTAGCTTAGGATACGTCCTAAAATGTGATTAAGTGACAAAATAAAACAAGACATGACTGATTAAATTCAGGATTAAATTCGTTGAAATTATCTGTGAGGTCATTCCGTGCGTCTATCCTATTAGGATAATTGTAATACTTTAACAAGTCATGCAAATTAGTCTATAGAGTAGATTAGTATAGCTATAGCTATATATAGAAAACATTATGATTGGTAAAAGTCTAGCACAGATTTTTTATTGTTTTTTCCGCCTCTTGTAACAGCTTTGCACAGGTCAGCTGTTGTGATGGGCCCATATTTCCTGTGATTAGGACTGGGAAAAGCGGCAATAATGGTTTTATTATTAGGAGAACGTTAAACGCAGTTACAGATTCTTTTTAATATTTTAATTATCACTACTTTTTGAGGTATTTGCAAATAAATATATACAAAAAGAAACCTTGACTTGAATAACTATTATCTGTCGTCCAATATGCATGACGTCAGAACAGGTGTAGCGAGTCACGCCCTGGGTCCGGTTGTTGTTAAACAGAGAAATAGCATGAAGTATCTCAAAATTATTGACCGCTATTATTGATTTTGAACCAGACTGTGGACTCGTATTTACAAAAAATAACAGTATTTTGATTTAAAACAAGACGCCTGTTCTGGCGTTAACTCCGGCGCACGTGCCAGTCTTTAATATAGAGCTTCTGAACATAAACAATAGAGTTCATATTCGCATTTAGATGCCTTGCGAAGCTAAATGTTCGATCGCGAAATTCAGAAGCACATCGTACTTTAAAAAGTATAGAAGTTCAATTGTTCAAACATGTAAACAAACCGCATGATACATTCGCTTTGTCTTACACTTAGCCTTTGGAATTCGCGCTTATATATTATATCTTCAATCCTGTGCAAATTACGACGTGTCAACGCGCCCATACACGGCCACATCATCTTGTTAAACGGCGAAATAGCAGCGATATTATTAAAATAGGACCAGAATCTACATGTATTCAAATATATTCTTACTCCAATTAATAAAATTACCGAAAAATAAAAATAAAAAAAAAACAAAACAAAACCGGGGCGAATTTTCAACTCCGTCGCTGGCCCCGGAGTAATAACTACGTTTGATTTAACTACGTTTTAACTAAAAAGGTGGTTAAAAAGTAGTTAAAACGTAGTTAAGAGTTTTATACAACTGGCCCCAGGTGTATATATCAGCCTCGTACCCGGGCGCTTTAATAGAAAAAAATAATGTTGCGTTCAGTTATTGTATAGAGGTCAGCTGGAAAAAATGCGGGGGTGCTTGGATGAGCCAGTGAACTGAAATAAAACTGGAACGCTCACTCTGCCGGGGTCGGCACTAGATCATAGACAACATATGCACATATCTGAAACTGCTATATATAACGGTCAGCGATGTTGCATTTGCTCGATACTTAATATAAATGTGGTCTTATTATACTTAAAAATTAAAATACTTTGTAAACGCTTTCCTTTCAATTCATACAACTCAGGACGATACATGACGATTGACTGTATTGACTGACTCACAATTTAATAATGAGTATTACAAAATGAATTGCTCAAGTCATTCTCAGAGATAGATTTCTCAAACAACCTTTCCTCGTATAATATCATAGTTTGTTAGTTTTAATATTATGGATGAAGAGCCTTGTAATGTGGATATGCCATAATAAAATCTTTATTATTATTATTAATAAAGTTTTCATTATTATTATTATAACGTTAAAATTCATTATTATGGAAGTATAGTTTCAGCAATATTTACAAATCTTATTTCTTTTCATATATGTAATTGTATTATATTATTTTTACTTTATAACTGACTGGTGTCACAGGAATTTTGCCCTCCCAGGAGATTCCCCCTCTAATAAATTTTGAATTTTTGATCTAATAACAAAACGACTGCAAGTTGAAGAGTATTGGAAAATGTGAGCCTTGAATGGGTATAACATGTTGTACATACACACTAAGACATACTATTTAATTCATATTTTGAATTTGATCAATTCCATTATGTTTGTCAATACAATTAATGATAATGTGTTAACAGAGAACAAAAATCGCAAAGGGAAGGTGAAGTTTCTGAAAGGGAGCCAATTTCCTAAGAATTTTATGTCCCCCCTCCCTGGAAGGGTGATATTACTAGGGGGGGGGGGCAAAATTACTGCGACACCCGTACAATAAATACATTACTTTAAACACCCACCAACTGAACCTGATATATTTCTAGCATCACATCTTTGTAGCTTAGTTAAACCTCATCAGATTGGAGGAATAATATATATATATATATATATACATACCCTCATTAATTAACCAGCAGTACTCTACCACTGACAAGTAAAATCATCTGGCGTTTATAGATAGAGTAAATTCTAAAGCATTTCCCATCAACGGGTTTAGCTCTGGCCTTGTAATCAGAGAAATATGCAACTTTATGGTATTAACAATGCACTCAAATGTACTGTTTATATACAGGTTATACTGTTTTATATATTCAGCTATTTCAATTAAGGTTCCAGTGGGACATTAGATGAATTGTTGAAACTTGAAGGAAATTTTCACCAACTAAGTCACAGAAGATCAACCAACTATGTCACAGAATGATTTATCAATATCCTTTGCGGGGATATATTATATCACAGTTAATAGAGGTGTGATTATATTTTGCTTTCCTTCGAGCCAATTTTCCAATTTTCGCGCGCTATTTTATTATGAAATCAAATTAGGGCACCCGCTGACCAATATATATAGCAGTTTCAGATATGTGCATATGTTGTCTATGATCTAGTGCCGACCCTCTGCCGGAAGTTTGAAGCCAAGATGGCGGATCATGAAGCCTTTCTTGTAGGTATGATCCAGGCCTCCACGCGGAAATTTTCGCGAACCCGGAGCCACGAACCCGGAGCTGAATATCTTGTCATTGGGGTGAGCTCAGTGGGTGACAAAGGAATCGCGGGCTCGGGGAACGAGATTGAGTGGGTGAGCTCCACTCAGCCACTGGAATCTGGATTCCAAGAATCAAATTTCCGTGAATAAACTCAACCACAACTTTATACTTTAAAATTTTATAATGCGATCGTTTCGTTGAATTTATTAAGCCAAGGTGCAAGTGAAGCTGAAGCGAGAAAGGCAATGGCGAATGTTTCACCCGACAGTGGTTCTGTTGATGAAATCACAGATCTTCTCACTTGCTCGTTGTGCTCAAATATTTTACATGATCCAAAAAGCTTGACTTGTCTTCATAATTTCTGTAAAGGATGCTTAGGTGCGTATATTATATTACTTTGAAATTATAGTTGTTGTATTACGACGCGTGGTTATAAATGGTTATAAGCCGAATAAGCGGTACTCGCTCGAAATTTGTGTGTATAGCTTCGCCTACTTGTAATAATTTCATCAGGGCAGCGTGGTTTCGATTTCGTGGTTACGCTTCTGACAATTTTATACTGCCAAAAGATATATTTAAGAATTGCTTAATTATGTCACATGTCAGTTTTCATACACTGCAAGGTAGCTTTGCTACTCAGGCTTCGCCTTCGTTGACTATTCGCTCATAGACAACTCAGACTCGTTGTCTAATTGTTAAATACTGGCTAGTTGACTAAATTAAAGGCGAGTAAGGGCTGTTTACATGATCGAAGTGTGAGATATGACTTTGAGGTATTGAAAGAAGTCTTTATGACATCAAACAAGCACATGCTATTGTACACAGGGGTGATAAATTACACAAATAACATGATTGCCTGGATCCCAATGTTATATACTCATTTCAATACCTCAATTAAAGACTTCATGTTGTGTGTTGTAATATTCATTTAGAAAAGTATGTTGAACGTCTTCGTGGTGGTGAACAAAACATTGAGACATTTCCATGCCCTAAATGTCGATTAGAGTTTACCTTTAAATCACATCAAGATTTGTCTGAAATGTCAAGTAATTGCTTCATCAAGAATTTGCTGGATATTTTGGAGATTCAGCAGAGAGCCAAAAGTTCTACTGAATGTTTCCGCTGCAAAGATCCTGCCATCAAACACTGTTCATCATGCGAAATCTTCATGTGTGACAAATGTTCAGAATCGCATGACATATGGCCAGCTCATAAACACCACAATGTATTATCTGTAAAAGAACTAAGTTGTCCTAAAAGTCAAATAAAAATGAGAAGGAAGCCTCACTGCATAAAACATAAAGATAAAGTGCTGGATTATTTCTGTGAAAGTTGCAAGGAACCTTGCTGTATTGACTGTGTTGTATTAAATCATCAGAAATCCAATCATTCATGCGTGGCTATGAGTGAAGTTGCACAGAAACAAAAAGAAACATTGCAATCAAGCTGCTCAACGCTTGATAAGAAATTATCGGAAGCAATCGAAGCTTTGACTAATATTGAAAGTGTAATGAAGTCTCTGGAAGAAAATGCTAAAACTGCAAAAGATCAGATCAAAGAACAGAAGGAAAAAGTTTTGAAGATTGTGACAGAAAAAGTTAACGAGAGAACAGAGAAAATGAATGAAGAAGTTGACAAGGCTTATGATGAATTACACAGTGAACTAAACAAACAACATGATGAAATTAAAGATTATCGTGACAAACTACAAGCTTCAATGCCCTTGTCGAAAAGTCTCTTGAAGAGGGGAAGTATTGAAGAAATTCTTTCCTTGCAAAAACAGATTGATGGAAGTATTGAAAAGTTGCAAAAAGAAAAGCCTGAGGATCTAACAGCAGTCAATGATGGCAATATTCAGCATGTACCTGGTGATATTAATAATATCAATGTTGATGAAGTTGTTGATAAATTGGGACATATTGAAGGTATTTTTCAAAATAATTAGCCAAGTTAGCATTTCAGCATCTTTAACTTCCTATCAAATGTGGTATAACAATAGATCGCAAAGATGCAAAACATTCCTTCAATACATGCATGAATAGAATTTTTTGATTTTGACAAAAAAATGTGGAAATGTTCTAAATTTGAAATGATAATGTTGTGATATAATTATTGAAAAGGTCGTTTACTGCCTTTAATAGACCAAGAACCCTCTCGACTTGGCTTTGACCTTCATAAGTCGTTTGTTAGGACTTTTGATATTAACTTTTGTGGAAAGGCACTTCTAAAGGCGAAACACCAAGACTTTTTCTATCTGGCTTAGGCAGACTTTTTTCTATCTGGCTTAGGCAGTTGTTTTACCACATTTCTTAAGAAGTTTATTATTATATGATGACGACAAATTTCACAAAATAAGGTCATGAGAAAACGTGCTATACGGTATTATGCACGGGAAAAGGCCGTATTACACTTTGTTACATGATTATTTTTTAGGACATGGTGGACATTTCAATTTAAGGAATTCGTCCAGTATTTTGAAGGGAGA